CAATTGACAGCAAAACAACTATCCATCTCTCTACTCGTGCATCGACACCGTAAGCAAAATAGTAACCAAAATTGATATTCCCTTATCGATCTGATGTTGCGAAATTTCTACAAATACAAAAATGAATACAATTTGTCTTAATAAAATCTGCTTATCAAAAACAGATCTTCAAATTAGGTTAAGAATTTTTTTAAATGTGAGCATTTTTATGGGTAAATATACGTGAAACATTGCAATTTTTATTTTCTCACCCCTAATAATGTTGGAAGAGAAAGTATTGTAATCGTGGCCGCAAAACGGCGAATTATCGACACAAAAACTCTTATTGCCGGGCTCTGGTAAGGAAAAAGTCGATAAATCCAGTTGCAAAATGTAGGAGGGAGGGGGGGAATCCTCTAACACGTGTTGTAGACAAAATCCATTTTGTTATTCCTTAATACCCAAAAATCAATTGACAGCAAAAGTCGGTCTGTGCACACGCTAGCGCATAAACCTATTTCTGCTAGAAATTAATGAAATATATACAGGTTTCACACCAACTACGGGCCACGAGAAAAATGTAATGAAATATATGAAAAAAATCAATTTAATTAGAATTAACTATTGAATATGCCAATATTAATTTTATTTTTACACTCTCGCTTTTTTTACTTTTTACGCAATCTGTATTCTTAATGTATTGATATATTTATTTTTAAGCAATCTGCAAAGCTAAATAGAAATAACAGAATAATGTGACATCGATATTTGAACATCTAATTGTTGTCGAACGTCGAGACATGGGCTGTGATAAGATAGGTTCAGATGTTTTATTACGTCCAGCTGGTGGTGTAACTCCTAGACCGAAAGGCTGAAGTATGGTATACGGTACAACTTACGGAGGTCGTTTAAACTGGCACTTCGCACCGCTCCGGAGGTAATTGCGCTGTTTGAATTCTGGAGGCTTTCTTGAAAAGTGATGTCTTATAAAGATGAATTGGTAATTACGCGGTGGATAGACTCAAGTATGTTTATAGTGAACGCGAGGGCCGAAGGCCCGAGCCTTGCCGTGACTTGAATTCGGGAGAGCGAAGCGAGTAAACTTGCCTTTAAAAGTAAATTGGCATTACAGTGCGGCGGGGACAAAGAGAATGAAGGGCGAACGATGAAAATCGCCTAAGTTTTATTCATTTCTATCAGAGCACGTACAGTAATTAGGGTTTAACGAGACCCCCCGGCCGCCACCACACTTTTCTGAGGGTGTTCCGTGTAACCTACTTTAACCTGCCAGTACTTCCGTTTGCGATGAATTTCGCAGCATTCATTCCTCAGAATGTCCGGGGCGGTATGTTACATATAATTTAATATCATCTGATCCATAAAAAAATGTATTGCTTATTGAATAAAAGAAAGACGATGAAACGCTATCGGAACTGTTGTCTTACGACGAAAGGCAACTCACGAGTGAGCAGCCAGAATTTTCGTAATTATTTTCATGTAAATTGCATATATTAAAATTACTGTATTGATATCATTATCCAAATGAATGCGCATAGTTTTGACAACGCGCTGGCGGTAGTGCGTTTCTCGCTTCTTGGTTGAATTGGAACGTTTTCGTATAATCGCTTATGTGCTAAGAAAACGTATTATTTCAATATTATGTAGCTGTTTCCAAAAATCTGTGAAAGACTGTGCTGTTGCAGCACCACTATTTTAAATATCCTTTGCACTATTTATGAAAGAAAAATTTGAAGCAGTTTTTTAGGAAACGTTTTTATAAAATGCATTTACTTGAAGATGAAATTTCAAGAAAAGTTTCCTGAAATTACAATTTTTTTTTTTTTTTCAAATTGTAGACAACCTTTTTTTTTTTTGTAATTGGCATTTTCTTGCATACTACATACAGAGAAATTTATATAATCCTGTAGTGAAGGATTTTTTAAGAAAAAAAATTCTACGGAGAGAATAAATGATGCTTAAAACTTGGCCAGGTCTCAAATTTTCGTTAAGCTCGCTGAATATCAATAATTGCAATAGAAATAAGGAGAGGAGCCAGGGCTGGTCTTAGAACCTGTAAGGCTACTGGCAGATTTGAAAAGTAGGCCTGCTAATTGTTCTGTAACACAAGAATCGAACAAGATATCAAAGTGTAAGGACATTATAAGTGGAGTCACAATTTTTATTGATAAAAAAAATGGAAATTAAAGTTATACTTTTGTTAATGATAGAATATTGATCGTACAATTAAAAACAGAAAGAGGGTCTTACTATATTTGGTGTATATGCTCCTGAAGAAGGCAGGACAGAACTAACTGAAGAATTCTATGAAGTCCTTCAGCAACATTACCATAAAGCCAATAAAAATGACCACATAATATTGGCAGGAGATTTTAATGCCAGAGTAGGTAATATACCTATCCCTAGAATAGTTGGATCTTTTGGAGAAAATCACTTGAATAGAAAAGGGGTGAGAGCTTAGAAAATTTGCCACCTTCAACAACTTAAAGATAATGAATACATTCTTCCATAAGAAAGATATTTATACATATACATGGACATCAAGAGGTCTGAGATCATTTATAGATTATATAATTGTGAATAAGAAATTAACAAATGACTTAAGAGGTACATGAGTATATAGAGGAAGTGACACAAATTCAGACCATTACTTGTTGAAATTAGAAATAGAAATCTTAGCAAGGTGAAAGAAGAAATATTCGAGTTCCTACCATCAGAACCAGAAAAAGGCAGAAGTCTTCAAGGTCCATTTCCTGCGACAAGAGAGCGTAACATGTTTATATCAAACCAGAATGGCACAGATTGAAGAAACCATCAAACAAGCTTTAGAAAAATCAAGAAAATTTAGGAAACGGAAAGGTCTTCAAATATGCTACGAAGAGATAGAATAAGCAATAACACAAAAAAAGTAGCGTATATGAAGCATCTCAAATGCAGACCGATGAATCATGGAGAGTATACAAAGCTAAAAGAAATATCACCAAAGAAATAGTGAGAAATGCTCACCAATCAGAATTAATAAGCAAATTAGAAAATGACATTTATGGCAGATAACACCTAGCATATGAAGTATTTAAGCATTCATTAGTGAATTAAAAGACACAGCTAATTTGAAAATTATAAAAGAAAGTCAGTGGGTTGAACATTATCAAACATTATGGTATAACCCTGAAGATGAAAATATGCTATGTAATGTGCCTGTACAAGCTTCAGTAGCTGACATTGATTTAGAAGAATTAGCAACAGCAATAACGGGTCGTCTGCATCCCCCGCCGCCGCTCGGCTGAGCCGCGCAGCGATGCACGCCCGCGGCTGCGGGGGCGTCACTTCCGCGCGGGGGTGGAAAGCCGTTTATCGGTGGCGGCGTCCCCGCGATAAGGGGGTTAGTCTGGCGGAGGCGAGGGGACGGCGCGGCGGAGCAAAGAGGGGCAGCGAAACGAGGTTTGTCGGGCCGCGCGCCCAGGGGCGGCCGCTGCCGCTGCTGATGGAATTCCCGGCTGGTGGTTGGAGGCTGCGCGGGGTGACGGGCAGCGGATCTGGGTTCAGCTCCGGGACTTGATGAAATAAATGCCAAACTAATTAAATATGGAGGTCTGCTGTTAAATCTAAGAATCCTCCACCTATTCAGTTTATGTTGGAAGCAATGCAGTGTCCCTGAAGAAAGGCAAAAAAGCCAAAGTAATCTCATTATTTAAAAAAGGGAAAAGAAGTGACTGTGGCAACTATAGAGGTATTAGTTTACTACCCACATGCTATAAAATCTAGGCAAAAATTTAAAAAAAAAAAATGTTAATATCTCTGAAATTTGAATTATATAAGAACAAAATAGGTTTAGAAAAGAACGCTCCCGTATAGATAATAGTTTTACCATCCAGCACCTAATAGAGAAGCGTAGGTAATTTTATCTAGAAACCCATTTGGCATTCGATGATTATGAAATGGCTTTAGATAAATTGGAATGATCCACTTGATGGCAAATTATGGAAAGAAGAGGCTACCCACACCACTTAATCAGAGTCCCACTCTGTTGTTTGGAAGTGAATGCTGGACTGTGAGGGAGAGAAAAATAAACAGGTGTTCCAGTCTGCTGAAATGAAATTCTTAACAGAGTCTGTAAAAAAATGTACCAGACAAGATAAACTCAGAAATGAAGAAATTTGAAAGGAATTAAACATTCAAGCAATCAATGACAAGATACAATGACACACGAAGGGTTACATGTGGAAAGAATGGAATTGCATTCCAAAGCAGGTATTTAAGTATAGACCCCTAAAGAGATGGAATTTTTAGAAGCCAGATTAGGTCATAGACCGATCCTTTAAGTGGAGAAGAAAGGAAAAAGGAAAAGAAAGAAGAAGAAGAGAAGAAGAAGAAAAGAAGAAAAGAAGAAGAAAAGAAGAAGAAAAGAAGAAGAAAAGAAGAAGAAAAAAAGAAGAAGAAAAGAAGAAGAAAAGAAGAAGAAAAGAAGAAGAAAAGAAGAAGAAAAGAAGAAGAGAAGAAGAAGAAGAGAAGAAGAAAAGAAAGAAGAAGAAAGAAGAAGAAAAAAGAAGAAAAAGAAGAAAGAAGAAAAAAGAAGGAAGAATAAGAAAAAAGAAGAAAAAAGAAGAAGAAAAAAGAATGAAGAAGAAAAAGAAGAAAAAGAAGAAAAAAGAAGAAGAAGAAAGGAGAGAAACTACATGCAAAAGTTTTATATACATTTGTGCCTCTACAATCTCCTCCATGGATTGAAATTGACATCTTTGGTAAAACTGGTGATGCTACAACAGCACACACACTGACATTATTTCTAACTATTGCGATGTTTTTGAAAATTCAGATAGTTGCCAAAAATGCCTGCACCATTTTCAAGTGCCCTTTACAGTATTCTAGAAAAACAATGCAAAAATGTGTGGCAGTTTTTGAGAATTTTTTTTGTTTATAAATTATATTAACTCCTAGCAAAAATTAAGCAAAAACTACTCAAAAAAATGTACATAACTTGACTTAAAAATCTAATATTATTAAGAACATATTTCATTTAAACAAAACTCTCAATAATTAGAAGACATACAAAACGTTTCAGTCATGAGGCACGCTTAGAACAAAAGATACAACAAACGAGTTCTTCCCTTCAATTAAACTGCACCAAAATACAATAATACGGATAGACTACACAGATTAAGGTAGGTAAATAATACAATAGTCACTATCATTTAAACTTTACTAAAAATCTTTCATGTATGCAATAAAAGAATTTAATTACATGTACATTACAGCACTTAAAATATCATAAAACATATTGCTTACAATTTACATAAAATGTGTGACAAATGCAACACCAATGCTTACTGTATTGAGCACCTCAAAACAAGATTTCCTTGCTTTTCAATAATGAGGATTCACCAGCGAACACAACAAACATCTTTTGGGCACAACCCTCTACTACTAGTGCCAAAAAAATTTAAACCTTTAAAGAAGTGAACATGAAAGTGTCCTCACAGAAATGCAACAATACCAAATACAGAAATTGTTACAATACTGAATACAATAGAACTTCCATTATTTAGGATGTCACATAATGAAATAGTTTAAATGAATGTTGAATTGTTTAAAACAATGATGTCAGTGAAAGGATATTAACCCGTCACTTCAGGATAAAATAATTAACTTAATCACTAGATTTGGGAATGATTTATGAATTGATCACAGAAAATAAAGTCAGCCCTTGGGAAAGAAATATTAAACACAAACAAAAAAAGAAACTGTTATTTGTAATTAAAATTGTTTGTTTGTCATTTGTAAATAAAATTGTAACATCTACAAATTGATGTAATTATTTAATATGTACACTGTAAATTATAATATATAATATTTTTATATATTTCTTCTCAGTTTATCTTCTAATGAACCAAATCCCTGGATATCAATTTGCCATGCAACACCTGTCATTACTCTGAATAATGAAAGTTTTATTGTAAATGAACGTGAAAAAGTTCACTTTCTATATTAGATAACACCCACATTATTACTCCCAACTGAGAGCAATGGCAAACCTTCTAGAAAAAAGCAAAATGCCAAGATAAACATTTAGAACATTGAAATTCAAAAAAGAAATTAAATTCCCAAACCTTTCTCCTTCCCTTTTCCCCTCATCATCTCACATTCATTTTTTTTTTTCCTCCTTTATATTTCTTTTTAGGTCTTCCTGAATTTATGTTATTCTTTCTCTCCTCATCCTCAATTTTTTCCATATATCTTAGTTCAACACAATGAAACCTATGCCTAAATCTAAAAGTCAATGAACATGGCCTCTGAGAGGACTACAGCGTTCAATAAATTACACATTTACGGACTTTTAAATATATAGGATAGAAAAAATCTTTAATTATTTGGTAACCTACAACATATTTTAGTCAGCATGTAAATTTGACTGTGCCTAGTCTCAAGTATATAAGAATCACTTCTTTGACATTATGTAAATAAAAATTCAAATGTTTGGACTACTTTCATTAAGAAACTAACTGGTGAAATTCCTTCCTCAAAGCACATATTATTCCTTATTTACATTTCTTGTTCACAGGGCACGACATTTCAGGAGGTAAAAAAAAAACACCAACATTTTTTTTTTTTTTTTTTCAATTAGATTAACAATTGTTTTTGATATCATTTTACTTGGAAATGATTTGCTACTATGCAAGTTTCTAGAAAATTCCTCTTGTTCTTTTTCTTTTAACAAGTCAAAGCACTAAGTGAACTTCTATGTATCAAAGAAAAAATCCACTTTTTTCTAATGCAAATGGCAAAAAATGCAAATTTGAGAAACAAGAGAATTGGTATGAATATTACACCAACCCTGTGAGGGTCACATGGGTTGAGGATATTAAGAAACGCAGCACACCTTTACAATTGCCCCACTTTGCAAACGATCTGCTAGGAGTACAGCAAAGTTCATTGGTCAGTTGAGTTGGAAATCCACTCACCGTTCCTTTGAGAGAATTGCAAATTGAAATGAGAATGAAAATTCTGGAGTCTCCACAGGAAAAGAATTGTTAGTAATATTTTGCTGCTTCGAAGATGCTCTCGTGGCTCAGTGGTGAAGTAGGTTGCCTTTCACCACTGAGGTTCTGGGTTCGGTTACCATAGAATCCCCATAGAACCTCATGTGAAATTTATTATGGCAAAACTAGCTAGCATACTTCACAGGGGCTAGTCCAACCCCAGTGAAGCGTCCTAAACCTTACCCTTATCTTTATTCCTTACCAATTCTGGCCGATAGGTAGATGATGCAGGAGGCGAGCGTGAAGGTGCTACCTATTGGCGATTCCCTGACTTGACTGCAACTGACATGACTTGACTACCCAGTAGTCCCTAGAAAGTGCAGGGTGTATAATAAAGGAGGATTACTCCTATAGTAGTAAATAAAGGAGGTTTACTACTACAGTAGTAATTAACGGAGGATTACTCCACGGTGTGCTCAATGCTCTTAGGAGCTAGGAGACATGTTGTGTGTAACAAAAAAGGATGGAGGGAATGCTGGTGTGATTTTTTTACCTGAAATGATTCGCACTATATAGAGATACAATCTTACATTTATATGTATGTTATAACAGGATAATGTCATGAAAGAAAATGCAAGTTTGAAACTTAAGACACTCTTATGTCCTCTACAAAAATTCCATTTCACGTTCAATACCAACAAACTTCAGCTGTTCTGTAGGACCATATCTGAAAAAAAAATTCAACCCGTGAGTGAACAAAACTTACATTTGTCGATCTTTTCTAGTTTATTTCATTTATATAAATTTCATGAGAGCCACCCTTTTGTTGAGATAAACAATATTATATATATAACTATAATATATTTTAAGCTTACCTATAATCAAAAAATAACTCTTCTCCTGGTTGGATAGCTCGTTTGGCAAATATTCCTATTCGGTGATCACCATTGACCATCATTACTTTGGCATAACAATTTGGATTGATGGAATGGTTAGCAAAACGGATTTTATTTCCTTTGCGAGTAGCATCAACAACAAAATCTATAAGTAAACAAATGAGAATTAAAAATCTATTTCACAATTAATTTATTGCATATATTTCACAGACCAATTGTCCACTTCAAGAAAACATGCAAATAAATGAAAATATAATTATAAAAATAAATTGCCAAATTAAAAACTCAATGAAAATAATAGCTATTAACATCCCCAGAAATGTTACGAGTGTTAATACTGGAAGTTCAAAATGAAGGCAGAGCCGAGACTTTTAATTTGGACAGACAGTAAGTACACTAATATTTCGTATGTCCAGATGTTTATCGGTCACCAAAAAGTCACAATTTACGCGAAAATTTACAACATTACTACAACAGTAAATAAATGAATACTGTAGCTGCAGCATGTTACTATGATAGTGAGAGGTGTTGCTAGTGATATATCTATTTAAACAACAATATTATACCATGGTTTGAGAAGAGAAGGATGGAAATAATTCTCCTCAATCTAAAGATACCCAAAGAAATGATGTTCGGTGAGGAAGTTGGTGCGTTTACTTCCATTGGCGACATCTTCAGATAGTCAGTATAATTCGAAAACTAGTTTCATAAAGTGGAATGCCAGGAAAATGAGGTTAATTTACCTAATACATGATTTTTAAATTGTACTATTTGCCTACAATTAACAATCATTATCACCAAAACTAATATGAGTTACTTTTATTCTGATTTGTTTTAATCTGAATAGTTTAATACACTGCCAAGTTATTTCTTAATAAAAATTTGACTTGCTATGAATCAATGGTTGCTTATTTACATTGCTTACGATATTAAATCCCATTGCTAAGGATGTTAAATTTCATACATACAAGTAAGTACAAGTGCATTGAACAAACCTGTAGTGTTGCATGTTAACAGGGTTTAAAAAAGCATGTGACCAATAAAACATTTTACATAAACATTACCAAGTGAAACAACCATTTAAAGGCAAAAAATTTAAAAGACAATGACATTATAAAGAAACAAAAAGACAAGTAATAAAATTATTCAAATTCAAATCTTGTATTTTGATAAACAAAGTAACTCAATTTTAACAGAAAGACATCCCCTTTTAAAATCAATAGCAAGTTCACTTATTCTATTCCTGAAAATGTTACTTGTAAGAATTTGTATTTTACAATGTAGAATATTTTTTTATTTAACAAGCAATTTTGTTTGAGGGGAAAAAATTCAACTTGTTTAAAAGCTTTGAGTAATTTTTTTGAAAAAAATTATTGCAACCTAAACAATAATTCTGAGTTTCTAGAACTTCAACAACATGAACCAAGGCAAACTGCAACTTTTGTAACATATTGCTTTAACAAAAACTACTAGTTGTTTTTCTTTTGTGTGAGTCAAATAAAGTGTTCCTTAAAAGGAAATATCATCAGCAAAATGTGTACACACCATTGTTGAGATTAAACAGAAAACTACACATGTATTTGTCATAAACTTTTCCTCTTCTGTCAGCTTCATCTTGTGAGATAATCTCTCCACAGTATTCTGAGATGAATTCATTCTTTTGGGCACTGTCTTTAAGAAATATTCCCCAACCAGCGACATCAGAAGGTGCCATAAGCAGGTGTTTATCTACAACAAAGCAGAAAGTTTAAACACCTCCACTGAATACCTAAAAGCAAAGAGAAAACTCAAAAAATCAACTTGTTAATACTCACGTAAACCTCTCTGGACACTAACATTCTTACATGAAATCTTTGATATATCAAATTGATCGGCTCCACATGTCTGACACAGATCTGGATCACATTCTCGCACAGCAAGATAGCAGGGACATTGTTTTGTGTTGCACTGAGCTTTACAACGGCAACCCGGAAAACGATTTTGGCCTTTGAAAACAATTATAAACAGAACATTAATTTACATAAAATGTATCACTTGCAATAAATATTTTTATCAATTTCTTTATTCAATATTACTCAAAAATCACTTGAATGGAGGACAAATTATCTAAACTCTTCTCTTACCCAGATTTAGAGAAGCTTTAACTTTATTGGGGAAATGTCCTACAAACATGTTTAAATAATTTAAATCACTTGAAAAACAATAAAGTGCAAATGAAAAGAGAATGTAATAAGAAAGAAAAGGCACAGAAAAAAAGTACGAGACATAAATATGATAATATTTTCTTTGAAGATTTAAATTTAATTTATAATTTGTATTTGACTTGCTAAAGCTGCCCTTTTATATTTAAGTTATTTCATAAAGAAATTCATCTACTTCTCTAAATAATAAAACCACCTTCTTCAAAATATATTTTCTACTACACATTTCTGTACTTATTACTTTTTGAAGAATCCCTTTGGACTTTAATATGAAAGAGACAATAAAGTTATTTAAAAAATGTCTCAACTTTCACCTTTCCTGATACAGCAAAATCAATAGATGGCAAAACGGCTAGCCAGTCTGTCCCATTCTGTCCATGGGCAAGGCTAGTGCCTAAACTGTTCCGTCATTTTCCACAAATTTTATATTTCCCAATTAATCTGAATGAACTCAAGGATTTGGGAGTTTCAAATAGATATTTTGATTTTTGAACATACTTGACATGAAATCTCAAAAACATTTCTGAAATTTTCTCAAAAATGCTCCAAATTGTTTATTTAGCTTAATCCTCTAATAGCATAAAGGAGACTTAAGAAAAATTCTCATATTTCCTGATTTTTCAAAAATTGCATAAGGACAATTTTTTGGGGAAGTCTTGCTACAACTACAATATTCTGTATAGTTGTTTTCTTCTTAACAAAATCTCTTTAAAAACAGATATTGAAAAAAGGTCAATTTCAATTTTTCTAAAAATGAGAATGTAATTTTGCCCAAGATATAGGCAATTTAATTCTTTTTTTTCCTTGAAAACCACTCCAGAATTTTTCTTAAAATCCTCTGTTTGTATGAATCAAGGGACAATATAAAATATGGTGCTAGATCAATTTTTGCTGATATTGATATTGATGATTGATAATAGCAAAAGGTGATTTGACCTTTTAGTCTGTTGTAAAAATTAGCAATTTAAAAATGTTATGTACAATTTTTTGAAGAAACTAGTAGTTTTCGCATTACTTGGGCTTGAAATTAATATCTTTTATTTCCTCCAATACCGCTCCAAATATTTTCCTCCTTTACAAGGGATGCCCAAAAGAATGACACAGGTCTAATTTTCATTGAACTCTCTGAATTTTGGAAAATCGCGAAATTTAGAAATAATGCGAGAAAGTATGTGCTGTTATAACATCACTAGATTATAAACTCTGATGATTCTGATCAGATTTATTACGAGTAATAAAGTTATCTTTTAATTCTCAATGTAAGGTGCAAAATTCCCTGATTATTAGAAAAGTTTAAAATTATCAAATTACTTTGATGTTCATGAGAACACCCTCTTCTTTAATTTTGAATTCATCAACAGATTTACACAAAACTTTTGAGCACATTAAATGTAACATCAAACTTCAGGGAAAATTCTGTTCGGCAGAGCTTGAAAAATTCACTTTTTGGCCTTTAGACGTAAATAATTTTATATAATTGTATTTCTATATACCATGATGATGTTGGGCTTAATTTGTATATAGTCCAGTAATTGGGGTTTCCCGCTGGACTTGTGTTATGTCAAATAAATAAATTAATTAATTAATGACAATAAATCTGATGAGAAATCAATGTTGTTTGTTTTTCAACATTGCACAAAATAATTATTTTGTTTTATGGTTCATAATCCTAAGATAAATAATTACCTTTTAATTTGTCAATTCTTTCTAATAACAAGATGGTAAAAAAATAATTTAGAAAAATTGCTTACAGTCAGAACTACATTGGCAGAACTTCTCGCAGAAATTCTGTGCCCCAATACAAGGACACATCTGATCACAAGGCTGATTAGGATGATCACAAGGTGTGAAGTTGTACACGTGATTGGAGCTTGAATCCTTCTTCAGCTGGATCTTACGGCAATGCATAGACCAGAGACGATGCTTCTTCTTCTTCTTACGAGGTGGAGTGAAATCTTTAAGAGATTCTTCAGTTGGAATGTCTGCAGCTTCCTTCTGAGCAAACTGATAAACCTAGAAGGCACACCCAGTCATCATTCTATTGCCAAACATTTATTACCAGTCATTAATAGTCAGTCAAAATCAACTGATTAGTTGCCACACATATTTAGAGAATATGTAGAATTTACAGAATACAGATCAATCAATTGTTATTATATTTTTTTATGCAAATTAATTATCTCCTAGTTATAATGACAGAAAATTAAAGTTCTTAGAGCAGATGAAATGCAAGAAGAGTAACTGTTGAGAACAGTACATATTAATTTGCTGAATAAATAGGGTGCACTGGGAAAAGAATTTTGAATACATCATATTTCTCCAAATATAAGACAAAGTTTTTTTTCCTCAGGATCATCTAATATTCACAGATTTAGTTAAGTTAGTTAGGACTTATTCTTTTACAGTTTTCCCAATAAGAATTTTCCTCCCCAAAACTTGAATGCTACAAACAATAAGTTGCATAGGAGGAAAATATCACTAGGGTAATTAACTATAATACCCAATTATATTTGCAGATGAATTCTTGGTATCCATTGTACATTTGCTGGCGATTCAGTCCAATATTTTTAATGGTTTGATAAAGAGAAAAAAATAAATAAATAGCATTGTAGTAAGTGAAACACAACATGAAAAAGAATAAACAAAATTGCCGAGATTTTGTTGCTCGGCAAGTGCAAATCTGCGTTTTGCAAGAGATGGAAATGAAGATTTACACTGATAAAAGTATGCACTCTACATTCAACCATAGAGACAGAATGATAAAATTTTTTCATAGAAAAACTTCCCAAACTTGAAAACGCTTCACTCTCCCACGTATTACACATACAGTTCGCATTTCACAATTTAATCACACAAACAATGTGAATTTCAAGTATATTCTTTTAAAGACAACTGTTAAAGAATCAGAGGCCACAAAAATAAACATGACAGAAAGAAAATCTGGTGATTTACAAAGAAATGTTCTTTAAGTGGCATAGGATAAAAAATTATCACAAATTCAACATGCAAAACTTTCAGGGGAGCCTAAAACACCAGTAAGCAACGCTCTTAGGGAGGAAGGCCAAAAAGGAAGAAAACAAGGATACTTGTGAAAATGAAGATATCGACAAAAAAACATGAAAACAATGACTTTAACAAACACGAAAATTGTGATTGCTCAAGCATTAGCATTCTCCAGCACAAAAATTTTCTAGTTAATTTGCAATATAATTATGACTAAATAGAATAAAATTGAACAGTTAAAAACTTCTCAGAAGGCCTCTTCATATTTATAGCCTTCTAACATCTGTGACACCAGTGAAGAAGCTGATAAGTCATGAAAACTTAGTTTTACAGGAGAGCAAAAACAACTTTCAACTGATGCTGTTAATCAGAGATTAATGATATTCAAACTAAATCTACACACAATTACAGTGTTTTTATAGCTCATTCATCAAGTGTATTTTCAAATGTAGAATTAAGCATTTTTACTTTTTAATTAGAGTTATTTGGTTATTCATGCAAAAAATCAAAAATAACATTTAGATATTCTGTTATTACAGAATATGAAGTATGATCCATGTTTCCTTTAACTATAACATATTTTTCAATATTCCGTTAAAAATAATTAATAATTAAGGATGGTTTCATAAATAAGAAAAGAACTGATTATGAGAAACTTTTAATTACTTTTTAACGAGAATCACAGGTTTTGACCTATAGATCATGAACATAGAAATGAATGTCAACTTCTCTCTATTGTTCATCGTTTCCTCTAAATCTGGATCTACACATTTAATTTTTGCTGTAGACAGCTTTTTGTGCAAGTCATGAAAACTCGAACTATTAATGGCAAAAGAAAAATCAAATTCATTCTTTCTACAAAATCTCTTCTTTCCAGTTCAATGAGCGCTTTCTTTGGTGTCTGGTGCTCTCGCAGGAGCTGGAGCTTACTCCGACTGCTGGTTTGACAGCATTTAACCTTTCACTATATGCTTTAATATACGGCCTTTGGTGCGGCAACCAGTCTTGTTTGGGTGGGAATGGGGGTCCAGACACACATTGTGGTTTCCGACGGGAATACCAATTTCCTGTCTACATCTGACATTAGCTACAACTTAATTTTATGAATTTCACATGTTAATGAAAGAACATATGGTCAGTAATTTATGGACAGTATTGTTTATGGCATTTGGAGAATTTATTTTTACTTCATTTGAAGTTCCTTGATTCAAAATATACATTTAATGAGTCTTTTCTGAAAAGTTGGCCATTGTGGAAGGAAGACTTTCAGTCTCTAACAGTGCGCGCATCTTGTGAATACGACTTACAAGTGTGTGGATAATATTTCATTATTGCAATATACACCAGGGTAGTGAAATTTTTGAAATTTTTTTTTTTTTTTTTTTTTTTTTTTTTTTTTTTTTTTTTTTTTTTTTTTTTTTTTTTGTGAAAAACACAGGCAAACAATAGTACTTGTTGCAAAGTGCTGGAGTGCAATCACTGTATTTTTGAAACCAAGTTTTTTTCGGTTTTGTATGAATTCTATCACTGTCAATTCCCTCGATTTATTACTAATACAAAAACTCGAATGCCCATTGGATAACAAAGTTAGGACCACATAGTGAACAAGCCAGAACCGCGAGGTGAATATAACTAACACAAACACTACTCATAAAATTAAGAAAGTAATGTTTCAATAAAAACTTTTATTCAAAGTAACTAATTTTATCGTAAGTTTAAGTTTTTAATTAAAGTAAGTTTTAACTAATTTTCATGAATTGCCTACATTTATTATAGTACTCTGAATTTTGGTAATTACATTTCCATCATTCGATGGAGGTGTTTGTTGTTGACCAATTTGTTGAGGCAGCAGCCACCAATTGGTTCACGGAAGCTTCAGCAACAAAAGGATTTCCACACCAACATGATGACAGTCATGCGAGTTCAAATGTATTCATAGCAAAAGTTAATTTCCTTTAAATTACATTGGCAGCTGCCTAAGGGCCTGCATTTGAAAGGACCACAAACCTTGACTCTTTAATGGCATATATTCCTGAGTTCGCGCTCTTCGAGTGTCTGATTTACAGAATCCACAAGAGATTATCTTTGTTTTCCAGAGTCATGATCTGCATTTTCATCCATGTCTAATCAACTCACAGAATTGGATCTCTTGGGAATCTCTCTTCTCTTGGTCATAATATCCACCCACCACCTAACCGACAATGTATCGCTTCTCACTGTTGGCCTCCTCTTTGTGTCAAAAGGTGAAAACATCCTCACAGATAAACATACTCTACTTGTATTAAAGCAAACTTTCGTCATGTTAGGCTTGTTCTGGGTTAGTAATGAACTCTTAAACAAAAATATTTACGTGAATAAGCTGGTAACTATATGAATATATTTCTCTCCTGTCATTATTTCAACTAATCTTCGAGTGTGAAAAAAGAAACAACTCAACTTCTTTGAGTTTCAGTGATCTCAAATCATCGATAAAGCGTGAATAACCAGACAATTTGACTTATCTCAGGGTTTCTGATTTTAAGCAATTTACGTGATGTTTGAAAATACACAAGTCTATTACGTATCAACCAGAAGGAATTAAACTTGTCTGATTATTCTCAAATGTAGAGAATCTTTCAGAGAATTCAGGGGTATAATTATCTCATTTACAGCAAAAAGTCAACTTATTAGCTTATTCACCGAGGTCAAAGATATGAAGAATCAACTTAAATTCAGATAAATATGGTACTTATTTGATTTGACAGATTGAAAAACACAGATCATGTGGCATGAAGTAACTACACAAATTGCACAAAATACTTTGTAGAGCAAAAGTAACAAATTCAACATTTAATCTCTCCAGCAATAAACTCTGTGAGGTTGAAATGAAAAATACAAAACTTGAATAGAATTTTCTTTAAAAAGCAGCAATAAACATATTTTAATTAAAAAGAAAAAAGAACCTTGAAAGCTATGAAGAATTTGAAAACAATGAACCATATTTACTTTATTTTACTATGTTACGCAGATTCCACAGAACTAAACTCTAACTATATTCTTAATAATCTCATCAGTCAAAACATACCTGTTGGCATGTCTTTGTGAGCATAATTTGTGCAATAGCACAGTAGTTGTTGAGGAACACCTTGTGCAGAGCACGGAACATGGACTGATCTGAGCCAATCCACTCTCCATCAGTGCAGTCCACTCCAAGGATCTTCCTCAGGGATGTCGTCGTTTTGGTGGATGTGGGTTCAGAGCTCTGATCTGGTGGGAGAATTTTCGCGTTTGAATCTTTGCTGGAACTTCGTTTGAATTCTGTAAATAATATTTTCTGCAATTATCAAGAAAAAACACTGCATTTTCAGGACTATGACGTGATCAGCTGATTAAGAACACTGATGTCAGAGCCTGATGATTTACGTCATGTATGTCAATTTGATCAACTTCTATCAACAGTTTCTTCTACTTCTTATAATTTTGCATCTTCAGTGAATCACTAGAGATACAATTTAGAGTGCCATTATTCTTTCCAATGTGTCTCCAACAACATTAAATGTAATTCACAAGTTTAGAAGCAGGTGCCCATTCTATTTGAAAGTAATGTGAGAATGGATCAATGGAGATTATTTTTATTTTAACACTGAGATGTCAAAAGAATCTGGTCATTCATTTTGTTCATAACTTAATTGTCTCACAAAATTGGAATAACAGTGGCTCAAACAGACAAAAAAATAAGTAATTTCTTACTGTCTTGTGATTTTCTACAATTGACTTTTTCTACAATTGACAAATTTAATTAGTACTTAAATTACTTAATGCTAATACACAAATGTGGTCAATTGTATAGTGAAAGCATACAATGCAATTTGAAGACTATGAAAAGAATAGAAAAACACACAGACTACAAAGATGATAGAAGAAAATTGAAGACCTCAAGATATTGAGAAATGTTTTGTGGAAATTGTGAAAATTGTGGAAATTTGAATTCACAAGGTAAAATGATTTTGACAATTAAGATGAATTTTGAATCTAGATATTTGATAGCCAACACAATGCATAATGCTAATATTCTTTCAGTAGGGCAGAGGAGTTACACTGGAATCTTTAGAAAAGTCTCATTATCATAAGAATTTTTTTCTTTTGTTTCTTTCTTTCTTTATATTTTTGTAAGTGAAAAATTTATAAAATGCACAAATGTGATGTTCCTTTAGTTCTGGCACATTTTGACAATATTTAGTAAATTAGAAGAAGGTGCCATGCTTGATCCATGATTTCAATAGCTGAAATTTGCTTCTATATCGATGATCTGAAGATTTTAGTTGAACAAGACTGAAACCTCTTCTGAAATTTCTCTGCATTCATATCTACGGCTCTCATTCCAACCAACTTCAAGGTTCACAACAGTCATTCACTTTCTTGTACTTGCTGGGCAGTGGAAGTGACCTTCACATTTTTGTTTATGTAATGAACTTTTAATGAATACAAGAAACACCATGATATTCTTACGATGCCACACACCATAATATTTGAATACCATTTATATAAATAATTGTTGTTCCTTCTTCAACAAGGTAGATAATTTGCAGCCATTTACAGCATCAATACAAATTCCACTACTGGACAATCTAAAAATCACTCTCATAAAGAAAACTACAATTACAATGAACATGAAGGTACAAGTAAGCCACAATATATTAAATAAATTCTTACATAAAATTTTATAGGCACAGTAAAGAGTTATTTAAATTAAATTCATTGACATATCAATTAAAATAATCCTCATTTCCCAAAAATTTAACTTTCATGCAACATAAGACAAATGATAGTCAAATACAAATTCAACACAAACTATCATGCACAGGGTAAAATTGCAAAAATATTTTTATCTAATGTTCAGTTTCTTTGTATTTTGACAACTTCTTACAGTGGCACTGAACATATCCACCCTACCTTTGTCGTATTTGTTACTGTCATTGCTATCTTCCGAGCTGGCCTCATTGCCCGAATCCACCGATGCCTGTTTTCGCACCTTGCGAGGTCGCTGACCCCCAGCATTGGTTTTCTGTTGCTCAGCTTGCTCAGTTGCATCACTCTCCTCTTTATTTTTCTCTGCTATGGCAGCCAGCTTCTCCTTCATTCCTTCCTATGATTTGTGTATGTGAAACATAACAAATTTGCATCAATTCATTCATGTTTACAAAACTCATTACAAATATCAGTAAAAGAAAGAAAGCAGTTATCATTCAGATTGAAAATTTCACAAAATTTCTTAGAGCACTCAGAAGGGCCTTGGAGACAAGATTTTGACCATGAGTCAGATGCAATGTTGTGGCTTACAACAAACCCTAAATGTTAATTCCTAGGAAAATCCAAGCACGACTCCTTGTACAAATTTAATATTGGGGAGTTTTTTTTTTTTTGTGAAATCAATGATGTCTACTGATTTTTTTAACAAAACAAGTGACCTAAGGTCACAGTGACTAATGACAGCCATTATGGCTACTGGAAAGACATACATTTACTTAAATATAAAATATCATATGTAAAAGAAGTTCAATTACCAAATGCATGTAACAGTCAGGCCCACAGGGATCAGAGAATGGCTTCAAGTCAGGTCCTTTTCTTTTCAGTAAATTTGGACCCGGATGATATGCTTGTAATCCTAAAAAGAGATAACAATTACACAAAAAAACAAGAGAATAAAAGTTATTGAATGCTGCATTATTTTTCTTTTATCAAACAGGTTCTTTATAACAGAGAAGATCAATGTTAAATGGCGTGGTGTTTTTATAGACCATATCATTGCCTCAAAAAGTCACTGATGTGTTTTAAATGAAACAAATACCATCCACATTCCAAAATTTTGTTCCTCTACAGTACTTTTAAGAACAATCAAACCCTTACCAAATTCATAAGCCTAAAATTTCGTATATCAAAGACAGATATGTGATCCCAAATATTAAACCCAACAAAACAATTTTTAAAGCAAGCAATATTGAAACACATTTTCATTTACTAAGAAAATTAATGTATAAATCATGTTATATACATTATAAATTAAGAGGTGGGACAATTGTTAATTTTACCAGATTTGAACCCAAATCCTCAAAAATTCTCAAATTCCTTGAATCTCCCACATTCTTTATTTCTTTACTACTTCACAACATAAAGTTAACGCAAGTAAATTTGGTCAATTCTGGGAACGAAAAATTTCTCAAACAGAATAATTTCAAAGGATTCATTGAATTCTCTCATTGGCAGGTTTGCGTAATACAATCACACAATGAAATTTTCAAATATAAAAAATAGACAAATGAATAATTTACAGCCTAGTATTATATAGTGCTCAAAGAAACATTCTATTCTTGAAAGAGTAGGTGATCCGGTATAAGAGATATAAAAACTAGTAATTAAGGTTCAATAAATTCGATAATGAGAAATATACAAAACATTTCTTTGAGCATTTGAGCAGTAAACAACTCTCAATATTTCTCAAAATTCATGGAATTTGAGAATGTGAATATCCCATTCTTATTACAAATACCATAAAATAAAACTGGGTAGTTTAAAAAAGGTTTCACAAAATATAATTTACACAGTACCCTATAAGTTCTTAATAATTTAAATTTCTCATGACATATCTTACTTACATTTTTACCAACAAGAAAAATTTAAAAAATCAAATAATGTTTCAAAAATATAACATTACTAAATAGAAGCAGCAAATTCATTATTAAATCAGGGTAGGTCTGTACAAATTATTGTTATGGGGGAAAATGGATTATTCTTGGCCATCCACTGACTGAGAACATTAAAATATTTTGGAAAGAAATGTATAGAGAAAGCTTTGAAAGAAGACTTCATTTGGATGATTATTTTATTTAACTCCTTCACATATTTTTTTGAACATATTTCCATGTTAATAGGATCAACTGAATGTCGGTAGATGTATGAACTCATAAACAAATTCAGATCTTCATTGGAAGCCAATAGAGGGATCATTTTCATGGGGTAATTAATAATATAAAGGCAACTCCAACTAAAATCTCATTTTTTAGTTGAAATTTTGATCTTTGTTCTATAGCTACTGCACTCTAAGAGAAGTCTCCCCACAAATCTAGACAAATCTCTCTTGGCAATTGGAAGGGGACTCTTGGCGTGCTGCCACTGGGGCACAGTTTGGGCTAAAGGACCTTTCCCCTCGAGGTACACTCACTCTCTTTTGCCACTCACATGCTCTCAAACTTGTAGCTCTCACAAAGCTTTTTGCTGAGGGAAGTGTAGATAAAACAACATCATTACACTGATTACCAGAAAATTCACAAGCACGCAAAATATATTCCAGAGATGTTCATCAGGAATTTAGTAAAAGAAAAGATAACTATAGAAAATTAATATCATACACAACATACATTTATATGGTATTTTTTCTTTCAAAGATCTAGTTAAATTTATACAAACTGACCTCAATATGACTTTATTTCCATTATTTTATTTCATTTTCTCTGAAAGACTATTTTCTGACAGGCTTTCAATAATAATATTTAGTTGTGATCTAACAGAACAAACAATGCCCAGTACACTGCAACAGAACCCTGTAGAAAAAATTATTGCATAGTTTCCTGAATTGCTATAAATGTGATGCACCAGAGAAGCAAGTCTGAGAGCACCGAGTGGCCAGACGGTTGCCAGCCTTACCTCGCTCAGCAGGGGGGCTGCCAGGCCCTTTGCACGCTGCACACAAACAAAAGACTCTCTGTCAGCAACAGGGTTGCTCAAAGTTGCCATTCATATCGGCCAGCCTCAACGTTCAAATATTATAAACAGTGTTGCCAGTGTCAAATTTTCAGAATATTTATGATTTACGGAACGAACTTGTGATAATAATGTGTACTTTTTTTTGTTTGTTTTTTTTGTTTTTTGTTTTTCAATATGTACTTGCTATATTCTTCCTTAAATGCAAAATATACATTAAGATTCCATTGAAATGAGTTTCCTTTAATTAATCTCATAACTCCTCCAAACGTAATAATATAGTATTTTTTCAGTGGTGTTTCTCTGAGAAAGAACAACTATCAAGAAATTATGTCAGGCTTATATCATTCACTTCTCACAACAATTTGCAATGTTTGTTCATGTTATTGCACTTCATGGCCAAAGTCCAAAGATTAAGCGCAAAATGTTACTAGTAGCAATCCAAGTGTTCTCCTGCACGTGTGGCAACACTGATTACAATAACTAAGGTATCATGTGACCAAGCACTCCTGCTCTTGTTGCATATCTTTACAATTTTTCTGTTTTGAAGGAATTTTGTTTGCAAGAAAATGTACAATGTAAAAATTACTCAAATAAGTTGTGAGGTAACTTTTAACAAAAATGTAACTTTTCCCAAGCTTTCACAGCTTCATTTCTATTCCGAAGTTTGTCAAAAATGGATGCCAATTGTAAGTTGTGATATCTATTACATGTTTAAGCTTTGGTACATTCTACCTTCACAAACTCTTATACTCTCACGATCAGTCAAATGTAAACAAATACATGTTGCACAAAGATACAATACATACATAAAACATAAAAATAGTAAACTGGTTAACTACAGGATTAAACCTTTTCAAAACATTAAATAAAACTATTTGGACTACATTGTGCAATAGCAAATATAAAAGATTATATTACTTATACATTGAAGCGTCTTATGTATTGCCTTCACTATGAAGCTAATTAGGGCTTAAAATTATTGACTTACTTAAAATCTCAAACGGTTTTCAGAGCCTATGTGGAAATATACTACAGGTCTCAGGTGCTTTAATTTGAAAATTCCATTGTCATGGATTGAAAAAATACATTGTTTTAAGTAATATATTCTTCCCCCGTCTACAGCATCTTCTTCACCAGTAAATATGATATGTGTTTAACAATTTGGATGACTAGATTCAATACATTTGTCAATAAGCATTCACAATAACTTCTTCTCAAAGAATCAGAAGAGGACAATTTCCCTTCTTGGACTGAAGAAAACTAAAACCTGCTGGAGAAGTATTAAGTCACATTCTTAGAGAAAACTAGTAACCTTTCAACAGGCAAGATACTATGAATGGACTCAGAATGACCAGGAGTAATGACATCCGATGACCTTAATTGGAGAAAACAAGTAATGCTGCGTACCCTGAAATCCCTGTTGGGCAAATTTCATTTCTCCCAGAAATGTGCAATTCAGAGAGGTGTACCAGACAAAATGGGTACCTTGTAACGAACAGTATTAACATATTCCACATTAATTGAATTATTTGTTTTCAAAATATAATGTTCAATACAAATGCTGTACAAAAATTTGAGGGATTTCACTGTACTTCCAGCATACTAAGCATTCACAAGTAGTAAGTTAACTTAGCACAAAAGATTATACAACAAGAAAGTATTCAGATTCTTGAAACTGGTGAATATTTTGCAGAGAAAACAACACCACCTCCACTAATATATATGAAGTTCATGATGGCCTATGAAATATTGTTTGAGTATCCATGCAAAATTCTGTTGTTTCAAACTTGTTTAAGAGTAAATGAGAAAGGGAGATGTAATAGAAACAGTTTTACAGTTTTCTACGATATGAAAACATTTTTTTATGCATTTTGGTCAATTATTCTTTGGAATGAACCTAACTGCATATAATATTAAATTTTTTTCTTGCAAAGTGGTTAAATGTTACTTCAATTATTTTTTAATGTATTTTTAACACTGGACAAATCAGTTGAGTCAAAAGGTCTCCTCAACCATCACCCGAATAATGTGAAGAACAAGTCACTGAACTGGAAAGTGTGATTATTAATGAGTTCCATGGTTTCCAGAAGACTTAAAAAAGACACACTGGTGCAAGAGAGTGAAACTATTCCAGACTGGCAAGCTTTTGAAGTACTAACAGAGTACTTAAAATCCCAGTTTTATTCTCTGCTGAAAGAGGCTGAAATTTATCATTACTGCACTTTTCACAACAATCCACATAAAAGTTGTGAGGCAGGTGAAAATATAAATATTTGAATATAACACATGACTATGTTAAAAATAAAGTAGGAATGGCAAAGAATGTCTGGTTTATCTTCACTTATCTTTAACCATGAGCCTTAAAAAATTTTTAAAATGGTTTTCAGAAATATCTACTTATCTTAACACTACCATAGAATTTACTGACACACCACATAAATATACTACATTTCTTACTTTTCAAAAAATTACATAAATTTTAATCCAATGAACATCTTTTATAATGCCTTCTAAAACAATTCAAGTTATCATGGCCAGCATCAATATTGATCTTGCAAACCCTTGTTCAATAAACTAAAGATTCTTCCTCTACCATACATATTTGAAATAGTGATCTTCACAAAGCAGATTCTCATGGAAAACAAAGACACTTTTACTCTAAATTCCAATGTACACAACTACAACCCTCATCAACACAACAACTACATAACCTACATGTTCCCCACTCTGAAACTACACTTTATCAAAATAGTACCCTAATAGAGGGCATTACACTTTACAACAATACGCAATGATTAAAAGTAAATTGAAAGCTTTCCTGCTTAACATGTTCTACAGGGTGAAGGAATATTCAAACCACAAAAATATTTCCCTTCAAAAAATATAAATAAATACTATTTCTTATCCCACTTGATTTTCTGTTTCATGTTCACTGTTCCGAGCTGAAGCAAGGAAAAAAGAACTGGCATATTGCATCCTGTGACGTAAAAGGAGAATGCCTGACAAAAAATGTCTGCTTCTCTCTGGATTTGCTAGATGCATTAGGTGCTGCAGTAGGGCTACGTGTACAAATACCAGGAAAAAATACTGGTCAAAACCTGCGTCCTCCTCCTCCTCCTCCTCCTCACCTATTCAAGTTTTCAACATAGAATGTACTATTATTGTTAATTTTAAGTAGTTGCTACCAAAATTGATATCACGTACTGTTTTAATAATAGTAAAATAATAATAATAATAATAACAATAATAATAATAATAATAACAATAATAATAATAATAAATTATACCACAGAATTTCTGAAGAAACTGAACAAATCTTAGCGATAAATTGAGTAAAATTTACTTTTTAAATAAAGCAAAAAATTGTATGCTTTAAAAAAAAGATAGAAAAACCATTTGGAAGCATTTCAAAATTGAAAAATTTTATCATTAATTGAAACTAAAACGTAAATATTTCATTCACTAAACCGGACATTATTGGAAATTGATATCCTGAGTGAAATACACTCAATGTATTTCTAGTGCTAAAGGTTTATTGGAAGACACAATGCTGTTGCCATGACTTATGAAGTGACTCTTGTGTACGAAGAACAATCCTACCACACATAGCATCTCGTATCTCATTAAAGAAAAAGGGTATTCAAGCGATCAGCTGGGTTCGTGTGATGTGCGGTGTTCACTTGTTCATGAATTACCCCCACCACTCGCTAAAAACAGAAGATGCCAACCATCGGAGGCAGAAACCGTATCGTTGAAATCGACGAATGTGAGATCAGCCTCCGGAAATATCATTGTGGTCATGTTGTACAAGGGCAGAGGGTTCTGGGCATTATTGACCAGGAAACTAGAGAAGTTCGCCTGGAGTATGCCCCAATAACAGAAGGGATTCGGCCACATTGTTGCAATTGATTTTGCGGCTCAATAATTTACACTGACATCTGGGATGTGTACAGCCAGCTGGATCAAAACAACTTTATCCATGGGGCAGAGAATCACTCTCTTCACTTCGTGCATCCTTCACACAAACAACATTGAACCCAGCTGGTGTCCCCTTCGTAGAAGACTGGCCTGAGGGTGGGAGGGAGGGGGTGCCACGAAGACATGGCTATGCACTTAGGCAAGTATTAATGGTGCCAAGATAGTACCTAGAACCATTCTGGGCTATGGTGGATGCCTTAAAGAGAAATGAATTGATGAACTGTGTGCCATTTCTGCAATAAATTTGCTTAAATCTATCTCGTCTCAGTGCAAAGTGGAGGGAGTGTGAAAACAAGTGAACATTGTGCACCGCTCATAACCAGCAGATCACAACTATCTCCAAAATTAATTATAATCTATAATTCTTTATAAGGTACAAAACATACAAGAAAGAAATATTTACAGAGCACTTAGATGGAAATAATATGTGACATTTTGGGTGAAATCATGATTAATGGCTATTACAAAAACAAGAGGACATCTGAGTGGTTTCAAGAACAAATGTCAATGATAATGAACTGGAATATTATAACATGTGAAACTCATTTAATGTAAACAGAAGTATCACATTGCATTTTTCTACAAAATGTGAAATGTAAGGTATCGTTATTTACACCTGAACCCTTTGTATATGTACAATCTTTTTTCTGGAAAAAACTATCAAAAAAGGTATTTATCTTAAATGACTACAAGAAGTCCCTCTTAGAAACAGAAAATAAATGCCATGTGGTCCTCTTAATACTTTGACTTGATTCTTATAGAAACTCTCTTGACTTTTGTCATCACTTTGGTTATTAAGAGAACGGAAATGTCAACTCCAAATCTTTATTTGGTTAACCATTATTAATTAAATTCACACAAAATAACATCAGTTAGTTACTGTGCTTGGTTCAAATATCAGATAGTGCTGAGTTCATGGAAGTAATAATTGTACTATTTTGATGGATTAGAATGGTTTACGTAACTGCTTTTCCTTAGCTGATGCATGGAGTACTAATTGTGCTCAGAATATTTGTTTAAATGTAAACCAAAAGACTGTAAATTTGGTATCTTACAGTGAAGTTCATTTTTACTTCTTCCCTGCTTTTTTCTTTTTTGTCATGTAGGGTCTACATGCACTGATTACCCTACAATCATAATGCAACATTGGCCATGGGATTTATTTTCAGATTTTATGGTTATGGTTCAGCCAAGATTTAATTTTCTTTCAACATTCTTTTTCTCGGTGACCCTTCCATTTTATCAATTCTCCCTCTCTCTCAGAATAGAGCCAGTGTTATTGCAAATGGGAAATCAACCAATTCACCATATCATATTACAAGAAATTCACCACCATATTACAAGAAATCAGCAACATGATTGTCTTTCTCCAGGTTGTAAACAATTCAGTAATGATGCAATATTATATTATCTTATCATTATAAAAGTAACAAAAAATATGTGCTGTTGTAATTACCACTAGTTTTAATGTTTTTTATGCGGTACTCAGACCGAAGGTGATTGAGAAATACCACCATGTAGTATGAATTAAAACCATACGATTGTTGGAGTTAAATCAAAAGAGTAAATGCAAAATGAAGTAAAATGAACAAAACAAGAAGAGTTGAAACAATTTCATGCTTCAAACAATTGACAATAAAATTTCAATAATCAAAAAGGTACTCCCTGATTCATTTACTGTCTTCCATAGAATTTATAATATACAGAACATTTCACTTATACAATGAGCCAACAAAGCGGAGCTTCAGTCACTGTATCATTAGAACCACATTACAACACTTTCACAAGGAGATGTGACTAAGAGCCAGGTAAGCAGAGTAAAAGCAGGAAATGAAGTTTCAGTACTCACGGTGAAGAAAGCAGTCGTATTTGAAGCATCGTCGACAAAACAGAGTATGGAAAGAATGCATGGTTTGTTCTCGGGGGACTGACTGGGCTGCAGTTCCATCTATGTTAGGTGTGCACTCTGGTGGCAATGCGTTGGGGTCGAGACGTTCAGTCAATTCCAGGAATCTACAAATAAATAGAATGACATTTTAGAGTACACAAACTTTCTGCATGCTTGCATGCATTTCTGCTTTCAACAATTCATGCATGTACTTTTTTCTAAAATCCACAAAATAAATTTGAAAATACGCAATCTGCAAATTCTTACCTAAAAATTAGGAAGCCCCAAAAGGGCTGTCAACTGATATTACCATAAATTTCTCTAACTTACCATAGACTTTCTAAGACATTCCTTGAATAAATTTTAGATATTGTATGGTATGACATTCATAGCACAATCTTATTACAATACTCAATTTTTTATCAAACTCAAGTCTCAAGAGGTAATATTCTCCTATCTCAAATGTAACAAAATTTCTTACGATACTTGTTTTGTAAATAAATACAGTAAAACTTGGTCAATGCGGAACGTATATAATGTAGCAATCTGTCTATTATGAATATAAATCACAATCCAGCCAAACAAATTCTACAGTATTACATTGCATGCCGAATTACATTACGCGGAATCTTGTCTAATATGGAAAAATACATAGGTCCCTTGAGATTCCACATTGAGCAAGCTTTACTGTGTTATTCAAATAGCAGATTTACTTTCTATCAAGAACACATCTGTAACAATCAATGAAAAAATTGTTTTCATAGCAGGGATGTCAAAGCCTAGGGCAGGCATGCAAGAAACAATGTTAGTTTTTTATTTTCTCATACATGTACCTATATTTGAAGTAATAAATATAATACAGAGAATGTTATGTAATGCCGTGGAAAATCAATTACGAGGGTTCAATGGAAATAGATGTTTTAGAGTCCTCTTATACCAAAAAAGAGTGTCTTTTGCCAAGTCTGTATGCCTGTCCATCTGAGCAACACTAACGCCTAAACTATTTTTTTAATTTTTACCAAAATGATTATTCCCATCGGCCTTTCAAAGTCTTACGAGTTTGAAAAGAATTCTATAATTTTGGGGGTACTTTACATGAAGCTCCTGGGATATTTTAAAAATTTTCTCAAAAATCCCAATTTTTTTCTTCAATTTTTTGTAAGACTGGAGTGAAATACTCTAACAAATAAGCCATCATTCCATTCCCATTCCATTTAACTCTAAATTTTTAAAAATTTGCTAGAGCTTGAAATTTTTTGAGCCTTAACTACAATTGAAGGTGTACATTTTTAATTCAAATAAAATTTGTTCTCTACAATTAGTTCCCTAATTAATACCATGAAGATTTACTTTTTGGGAAAAATTTGTAGTTTTGGTGTAATTTTGAGTGAAATACAGGCAAAGTTGGTAAAACATTTTTTTAAACACATAGTTTTTATTATTTAAAAGATTGCACAAATATAAGTTTTTTAGAAATATCTTTCATGCGATTAATATTTACTTCACTGAGGCATGAATGAGTGCAAGTACTTCAAGTTATGTTTCAAAGTTTTTCAAAAACTCAAAACTGAAAACGAGTCTCAAATTCTGCATTTTCCAAAACAATCAAAGGACATTGTGTCAAAAATGGTTCCAAATTTTTTGTTTGGATAATGCTAAATGCACTGAATACATCCACATCAATGCACTTTGATCTACACTTATGTTTTTTAAAAAATTACACAAATGTATTTTTTTCAATAGCTATCATTTTTTCAATCCTCTGTATTTGGGAGTAGAAGTGTTTCAAACAATTTCTAATGAAGTTTCGTGAAAATTCGAAATGTTTCTGTGAAACTGAGCTCAAAATTGCGTGTTTTCACAAACGATATAACATTTTCTGAAAAATGGCTTCAAACATTTCAATTAATATTTCCATATAGGTATTACTCTTCTATCAAATTTTTAAAGACTTATTTCAGTTCCCCTATTAGGGGAGAGGAAAATTAAGAAAATGTGAAAAGATGACTTAGATGGCAATAGATGGTAGCTGAAAAGTGGGTGGGGCAAACCCAAAAAGTTTAGAAAACTATTAGCACGAAAAGTTGGTGCCATTCTATAGTACGACTAGTTTGTTCCTTTTGTGGGTCGCAAGGACTTGATTCCAATCAACTTTGTAGAAACACTATCATAACAAATAGACAAGTTGTTGATAGAACATTTCTACTGAATATGTTACAAACAGAAATGTTTAAAATAAGATTACTTTCTTATCTTTGTGGTCTATTTCCTTCTGCACAGGCAAGTTAAAGCAGAACAGGAGACAATACAAAAAACATACATCACTGATCAATCACAATTTACCATTTTTGAAAGAACTTTACCTTACTTATACAAACCTGACACTCCTCCAGCCCCTTCAATTCTCATTGATCAATTCAACAGCAAACTAAATTTCAATAAAGTATTTTGAGTTAATGCTTTGCAGAAAAACTGTCACATGCCATTAGTCTTACTTTTCCTTGAGTTCTTCTGGCCTCCCCTTATCTGGAAACATGGCTGATACTGCCTGGAATATCACCATACTAGGGACTCCCTTTGATGATTGCTTTTCCGCTGTTTGAGACCTCCGCTCAGCTCGTTCATGAGAAGATGAGCTGCGACTGGTGGAAGCACGACCATGTTTCTCCTTATCACGATCTTTTCCCTCTTTCTCATTCTTTTCATTTTCTTCCTGGAATCAAACATTCCAGAATGCATACTACAATAATCAATGGAAAAAAGTAAAGTGAAGCAGGAAAGGGTGGGAGGGCTGCGAACACCGTGTCAAGATACTGCCTAAGAAGTGATCAACATGGAAATACATGGTCATTGGTTGTAATTGGTGTAATCTATCTTCGACAGACATGCAATAACAGAGTTGCACTTTAAATTCTCAGTTTGATTCAAACCAATTTGCAAAGTGACAAAAAGGATGCAGGGAGTTGCATGCTCACAGGGACAAAAAAAAGAGGTGTATTAAGGCAGAAGCTCTTTGAAAAAAAATCCTGCCTTGTACTTTTTTTTTTTTTTTTTTTTTTTTTTTTTTTTTTTTTTTTTTTTTTTTTTTTTTTTTAATGAAAGAATTCTATAAGATGAGATATGAAATGCATTTCAAAACCATTTCATATACAGTATGTGTGTATGTATATATATATATTGCTTACATCTTTGTACTGATACTGCAGCAGGGCGTTCACCAATTCCACAAAAATAGTGTCATCTATGAATCCAGTTTCTCGATCTCCATGAACTTTTCCATCATAATTTTTTATTAATTCTTCAATAAAAGTTCCATCTTGGTCAAGAATTTCATCTCCCATGTATGGAATGTTATGGAGAACAGTTTCATCCTCAACCTGATGAGGAATGTACAAGCAAAGTTACCAATAGCATCACATCAAATCATAAAATTATGCATTGGAAATAGGAAGTGGCTAAGTTGTAATAGAAATTATATTAAGCGGGTAAATATAAAGCACAAATAAACAGTATTTGGATTTTCTTTTATCTATTTCAATCAGTTTACTAACAAGGTTTAAATTAATAACACATACAAATTAAACTAAAATGCGAATATGTTATAATTATTCTAAAACTATATAACTAATAAACTAAAAATAAGAAATTGCATTTCAGAGGCTATTACCGATATTGTAGATGATCTTCACGTGAAAAAAACTATGCTTGAAAAACTATTAAAGTATAGATTTTCATAATTTTGATTTTTGTCACACTGAACATGACAGGATAACTATTTAAATGGATACTCACAGGGAACAGAATCCATTACAACCGAAAGGCAGTTTCCTACAACTACAATTTTGAAAATAGTTATTGTTCTTAATGAAATGAGTTCTTCAAAGAGATCTTTAAATAAGGACATGCACAATTTTTTGGAAGAAAGAGGAAGAAGAAAGAAGAAAGAAGAAAGAAGAAGAAAGAAGAAAGAAGAAGAAGAAAGAAGAAGAAGAAGAAAGAAGAAGAAGAAGAAAGAAGAAAGAAGAAAGAAGAAGAAAGAAGAAGAAGAAAGAAGAAGAAGAAGAAAGAAGAAGAAGAAGAAAGAAGAAGAAGAAGAAAGAAGAAAGAAGAAGAAAGAAGAAAGAAGAAGAAAGAAGAAGAAGAAGAAGAAAGAAGAAGAAGAAAGAAGAAGAAGAAAGAAGAAAGAAAAAGAAAGAAGAAGAAAGAAGAAGAAAGAAGAAGAAAGAAGAAGAAAGAAGAAAGAAGAAGAAGAAAGAAGAAAGAAGAAGAAAGAAGAAGAAAGAAGAAGAAAGAAGAAGGAAGAAGAAGGAAGAAGAAAGAAGAAGAAAGAAGAAGAAGAAAGAAGAAGAAGAAGAAGAAGAAGAAGAAGAAGAAGAAGAAGAAACGGAAAAGAAGAAAAGAAGAAAAGCACAGAAGAAGCCCGAAGAAGAAGAAGAAAGAAAACATAGAAGCCAATATTGAATTAATCCAACGACCCGGAGCGGGAAAAGAAGAGAAATAAAGTCAATTTAAGAGTAATTTCGAATCTATACAGGGGTAAAGAAGAGAGAGGCCCAAGAAGAAGAGAAGAAGCAAGAAGACGAAGAACAAGAAAGCGGAAGAAGAAAGAAAAGAAGAAAGCCACATTGAGATAGTGAAGAAAGACCATAATGGTTTTCAAGAAGAAGATTAGTCATTATATTTTAATAAAAGCCAGCAGGAAGACCCCAAGAATAAGAACAAAAAGATTTTTTTTGGCCTTTATTTTGGAGGAAAGTTTTTGAAAAAAGAAAAAACAATGAAGTGAGGAAATCGAAGGCAGAAAAACGGGGGTGTTGGCCCACGAGGTTTTTTTTTAACCCTCTTTCCATCTAGTCCACCTTTAAAAAATATTTCTAAACCTTAAAAACTAAACTTTAAAAAAAAAAAACACAAAAAAACTAGTTATCCTTAAAAAAAAATATAAATCCAAATCAAGATCCCTAAAAAGATTTTACAAATAAATCCTTTCAATCGCAACCCTAAACAGATTCGGCACCACAAATGCTTTCTTTCCTCGGCCCTCCCCCTTCCTTTTGTTCTTTTTCCTTTTTTTTTTTTGGCTTGCCGCAAATTGACATAAAAACAATTTATCCGTAATAGTTCGTTGTTTGTGTCCTTTATTCCACCATGGCGTCCCCAAAAAAAGCGTAATACAAGTTCTTTCTATTTACAACAGAGAGCGCATTCATATATTACATTGTGTGCAACGGCTGGTGATTCAAACTCGATCATCTCACTAGATCGAATTCTTCAGCTGCCTTCGATTTCCCACGGTTGCCTGAAATTTAATCCCTTTCAAGGCGTTTTTGTGGGTGCCTAAAACGGGGAATTAACCGCAGCTTTTCCTCCCTCCCCCCCCCGTGGGGGTGTAACAGAATGGAAATTTGTGTTTTTTTTTTTTTTTTGCCCGGATTTTTTTTTTATTGTTTTCCACCCCGCGCCAACGTGGGAATTGTTTCCCTGGAAAAATTGTCCCTGCGCCCCACGGCCTAATTTTTTCAAACAGACCCCCATAAAAACTTCCGGGATTTTTTTTTTTTTTTTTTTTTCAAGTTTGGACCGTTTTTTTATTTTTGAAAATTAGTGGGCCATATTATTAAACCGGGCGGGGGCGGGGGGGGGCCCTCCGTCCCTCCCTAAATAAAATGGGGAAAGTATTTTTTTTGATCAGTGCGTTAAAGCCAAACAAATTTTTTAAATGAAAGGTTTCCCACGAGCCCAGGTTGGAGAAAAACCCGTTGTTCGGGCCCGAAAAATTAAAAATTAAACAAAATAATGAGATTCTTCCATTTTTGCGTAAGGCCAAAGGAAAAGGAAGTTTAATGCAAATGATTCTAGAAATTTTAACCCCAGATCGCCACTTAATAAGGCAAAAAAAATCAAAAGTTTAAGAACTTTCTCCCTGTGAACATCCTAGGTCTCTTTTTCCTCCTGCCCCCCGGTTGCTTTCTTCCCTCTCTGGTGAGTGCGGGGATTGCCGGGGGACCCTAGCAAAACAAAAAAAAATCTCAGGGGTTTTTTTGTTAAGAGTTCCCAAACAAACAAATTCCTCGAACTGAGGTTTTTTAATTAGGCTTGAATTGATTCGAATTTTTGATAAACAAACTGTCTGGAAAAAAAAAAACACATTTCTAAATACTAGCGGCGCCAGTTGCCCCGCCCCTTCCTCCTAAGCATGACACATAAAAAGTTTTTTTTGTTTTCCTGGTTTTTTTTTTTTTTTTTTTGGTGCGTTGTCCTGCCTGGGGCCGAGTAATATTTGTTTCGGCAAAAAGTAGAAAGGAAAAACAAAGACAGGCCACCCGGAAGCGCAAAACCCGAGAACCCAGGGTGCCCTTTTCTTCACATCCTCTTTGAAACTTCCTTTCCCCTTGTTAAAACCAAAAAACCCCCAACAGAAACAAGGTTGGGGCCTAACAAAACTTTCATGCTTATCGTCCAAAAAGGCCCTCCATGCCAGGGAAACCTTAGGCTTTGTCTAACACGCTCGAGGAAAAAGGTTTTTTGCTTTTTAGAAACCGGGAAAGAAGATTTCCCTGTGAGGGGAGGGGGGATAACCGCAAGACGACGTCTAGGTGGGCTTCCGGATGTTACGAGGAAGCGGGACAGCGCGAAGTCGCGGGGAGGAATAACCGTAGGGATTCAAGAAAACATTTCAAAAAAATGTGTACATTCTGTTCGTCATTACGTACGGCGAATGTTTTTTTTTTTTTTTTTTTTGTTCAAAAACGTGACGTGTTTGTGTAACGTTTTTTCTGTTGAAGTGAATTTTTTTGCCGTTTGAGACCTTTCCACTGCCGGAAATAGGGGCAACGCTTGGGAGTCGTCCGTTATGACGAAATGGGATCATTTATTTGAACTCATACAAACTATACTTCCCGATAAAAAACTAATTTGGCCGAAAGAATGACTGTACCGTCCTGCGCCAACGAAGCCCGCACACTAAAGGCGCTAGCCGGTGCGTTACACAAAGTGCGGGAATCCAGCATTTTGGCATAACCGTTTTTTTTTTTTTTTTGAAGGTCCTATGATACGATAGGCCTCAATTAAGGAGCCATTAAGAGTCGGCATTACAACAAAGATGGGACCTATATTTTGTAGTAAAAAATAGTACAGAGCGGAGGCAAATATATTTTAAATGTCAATGTACGCCCTGTATGCAGCTCCGAACTATCCGAACGCATCTTCGAAATCATAGCCGGTTAAAGAAATGCAAACGGGAGTTTATCCTGGGGGAAATGAGGGTTATTCAAGGCCTGTATACCCATAATTTTTCTCTGAAAGCTATGAAATGGCAGACAGTCCTTTATTATATGTGGAAGACAAGTTTCAATTTTAATCATCAACATGACAGCTCGGCAGGAAAGCGACGACGGTACAAGAAAAGCGGCAGGAAGCAGGAGGACTCAATAAGGCCAAAGCATAAAGATGAGGAAAATGAAAACCAGCGCGGTGACTAACCGAATCACAAGCGCCCACCTGGCGCTCGCGTCGCTTTCGTTTTCCTCCTTTCAGCCAGCCCGCCTGCGGCTTTCGGCGCGGCGCCGGGGCAGTCAATTTAGACTGCGTTTTGTATAAATATGGTACCCGCCGTCGGCTTCGCATTCGAATTGCCTCCGTGGCACGCGCGTTGAGGAACATCGAATGCCTGGCGCGACAGAGTATGTAAGAAGGCAATGTACGTAGCCAGGCGCCATCGCATACTTCAGAGCGAATACAGCTGAGGCGAGTGTGAACCGGCCGACAATCGACTAGCAAATTGTGAATGAATCAGGTATTACGCAGGGTAAAAAACACACTGGTGAAGGATTAACTTTCATTCGTGTGGGATAAAAAACCCACTGTTTCGCTGAAAACCCTCGTTCGCTTCAATCGTTATTATATTTATTAAATAACTAAAAACAGGCGGCAATCATAGTCGACCTTTATTCAGTACC